ATAGAATAGAATAGAATAGAATAGAATAGAATAGAATAGAATAGAATAGAATAGAATAGAATAGAATAGAATAGAATAGAATAGAATAGAATGTTCAGCTGGAAGGGATCTACAATGATCATCCAGTCCAACTGCCTGACCAGATCAGGGCTGACGAAAAGTTAAAACCTGTTAATACGAGATTGTTCAAATGCCTCTTAAACACTGATGAGCTTGGGGCATCAATCAACTCTCTGGGAAGCCTATTCCAATGTTTGACCACCTTCTTGGGAAAGAAGTGTTTTTTAATGTCCAGTCTGAACCTCCTCTGCCAAAGCTTTGAACCATTCCCACAATTTGTATCACTAGATTAAATAATAGAGAAATAATGGTGAAATAATTGTGACTGTAGTGCCAAATTAACATTCTAAATGCTCTTGAAATTGCACAAACTTTTGTTATAAGTTAGGGAGAAACAGTTTAGATAAAGCTTCCTGAGCAGTCACTTCTCTCCAACACAGGGCTGACTTTGTTGCAGCTGTAAAACTGCATCTCCAATGTTCTTATGCTAAAAAGCACGGGCCATTTTTCGGCTTCCCTTAAAGAATGGAAAAACATGTGTCTGTCCCATGCCTTAAGAATAGATATATTAGCTGGAGATGCAGCAAAGATCAGGGATATGAGAGATGCAGTTCATCATCACAAGTGTTCTTGTGGAGATAAAATTATACAGAGGTGTTTTAGGAGTCATGAGAACAGCATGATTTATGAACGTCTTGTGAAAACAGGAATTCCTTGGCCATTCCAAGTGTCTGTGTAGGAGGATGTTTACATTTCTTACTCTCAGCAGAAGCAACACTTCCTAGAAAGAACCTCTAATGAGTATGGAAAGAGGATGAGGTGTGCTGCTGAAAACACCAGTGACAAGGTTTCAGAAGCGTGTCTGAAGGATCAAAAAGAAGAATTCATGTTCCAAGGGAAATGTGAAAGTTCTGAGGCAAAAAAAAATGTTATGAGGCATTGTTTTCATCTGAACAAAGGAGAAAAGTCTGTGTAATTTCGTTTGAAATCAGTGCTTTATTTATTTATACAGCACTGAGCCTTGAGACTTAAACTTAGCTGTAGCGTCCAGAAGGACTTTAAATTTCTCAGTTATTAGAGATTAATAATTAACAACTAATATTAAGCAGTTGAATCATATTTTTGGACCTTGAAAGCATAAGACAGCACTAGAAGTCTCTTCTAACCATTATTTTCATGTTACAATGATGTTCTGTCCCAGAGTCAAAGAGCCCAAGTTTGAGTCAAATCTCCTGAGGCTGATCAGCTCAGTAAGGGGAGCAGAAACCTTGGATGATGTACATATGATGCCATCCCAGATGAGCTGGCAGAAAACTAGGAAAAAACACTCATGAAAGATTAATCAAAGCAGCCCCAAACAGGAGATCCATAAAGGTAACCCACAACTCATACAGGAGAATGAGCCATACAAAATGTTAGTTAATCCTGCAGTTCTGAAAATCTCTTTCTAAAGCTCAGCCCTTTGACTCCACCAAATCCATCAATACAGGGAAATGCAGTGGTCCAAGGCACCCTACCCTAATTCTCTTCCTGCTCTCCCATTCCAGGAATGAGAGTGTGTCCACCAAGGGCTGCTCTCATGTAATTTTTTTTGTCCTAGTTTTGCAGTATCTTCCATTAGCAGAATACTGGCTATCAGTCCAGCAAAACATGCATGCATTCAGCATGGTGAAACTGTGCTAGGAAGTGGTCAGGTCAGTCTACCCAAACTAAAGAATCTCCTGAAGGAAGACCCAAGGTAAATCTGCCTCTCTGAGCACACTTTAAGTGTCCACAACCTTGATCTTAAGACAAAGCCATTCCTTCTCCTCTCTGTTGAGCTACAATTTGATTACCAAGTCAAGGTCAACTACCAACAATGGCAAGATGAACTTTGCAGACCACTACCTATTTTACACAATTCCTTGGACTCTTAAGAGTACAGGATATACTTCTACTGAAAAGGAATTACAAGTCATATTTTATCTAAGTAGACGAAGCCATGTGACTGT